AGAGCATAATGCAGGATTGTTCCAGATTTTGCCAAGCTGAGGGAGTGTCAGAGATCCTGCTCTAATTCAGCCTTCAGAAGTGCTGGGGCTGTCTTAATGATGGCTCTCTGCAGCTGAAAGCAGAGCTGGGTAAAGAAATGCTGTTTCAGATGCCCTTCAGATGCAATCTGCTGGAATAACTTTATTTTCTTCTCTTTCCTCCCTGCTGTGTGATTGAGGGGAGGCTGTGTTACCTCCCTCGCCAAAAGACCCACTCACTGCTGCTGTGTGTCAGGGTCCCTTTGAGGGCTGCATTTCAATCCCTCGTGCTGAAATGAATCTGAGCTGGGAGCTCACTTGCTGGCCTATGGTGTTATCTTTCTTCTGCCTTATCAGATGGAGGTGCTGCTTCAGTGGTGTTTCACTCCTGATGTGAGGAGGGTGCAGAGAACCGTCGGCTGCGAGCAGGCAGGAGGATTAGTTCTGCTTGAAGGGGCAGACACAGATCCACATCTCCAAAAGGGGGGACAAGTGACCATGTGGATTGGGTATCAGGAACTGGAAAGCTTGCCCTCCCCCTTTGCATAGAGAGGAGGAGGAGGAAGAGATCTGAATAAGCAGCTCTTTGTGTGTGCTTATCTATATACCGTCTCATTTAGCCTGAGGTTTTCCCACATCTGCTCCCGTGCATGAAACATCACAGTGACACACATAGCTCTGCTGAAAGCTATTTTTTGCTGTCGTTGCCCTCCCAGTAAGCCTGTGGCCTTTTTAGAATGCTTCTTACTTTTAACTGTCTTATGTGTGACTACTGCCACAAAGCAAGAGAGAAACATCTGCTTTCCTAAATGCTTCAGCAAGGCAAAACTGCGGGTTGTGTGTTTGAAGCATGATACCCAGTTGGGCATAACTCAGCTTTGTGTCTGTAAATAGACATTTTAGTCTCTGTTCTGGTGTTACATTAGATGGGTTTTCATGTGGGAGAGAGGCCTATGGTAGCCCAAGATAGCATGGGTCATATACGTGGCCTTTTCCTAGGCGTGTTTGCTGTAGCTCGCTTGCATTCACAGTGAGCTCTCTGGCTTTCTGTAACAGTGCTACTCTGTCCATGGCACTAAAATCACAGTTGGTAAACAGATCTTCTCTCAAATCTGTTCATTGCCTGTTTCTCTGCCTGTCTCCAGAGCTGCAATAAGGCTGTGTGTGAGACCTGCACCCAAAGAGGCCTTGGTGGCTTCACTGAGCACACTGCTGCTTGCTTTACTGGTAGGTAAACCAGTGGATCGGTGCTGTGCATCATTCCTGTTACTTGGATTCATACCATGCTATGGTGAAACATCTTCTAATTGCTCTTTTTCTGGTAAATCCTCTCTTGAGGGGTAGGATGGTGGCTGGGAATACAGTAAACTGTCCATTCCCAGCCACCTTGTCCATATGGTCAAGGAGCTGGATGGAGGCAGATGAGCAGCTCTGGGGTTGGAAGACCCCGAGAAGCTCTTTGTGGACCTCACTGCTCACAAAAGCTGCTGCAGGGTTACATCGGTTTATTCTGAGGAGGTATATTTAGGTCTGGAAGAGTAATTACACAGCTTTGAGTAAGTCTGGAGTCAGAAGAGGGCAAAGCTTAGCTTGGCAGGGATTCAACCTTCTGGGAATCTCTGCAAAGTGGTGCAGACGGCTTCTTAAAAATAAAACTTCTGAAGACCCGTTGAACTGACACCTTGTACCAGGCTTTGGGCTGCTCTATTTCTGGCTCTCCAAATACAGAGTCACATTTAAAATTAGCCACTTTGTGGTTGAAAGCTGTTAGTTTCTGCTTTGCTTTTAGGTGCCTTGTGATTAGGATGGAAGGAAACGCCTCTCAGTGAAGCCCTCTCCACGATGCTCGTGTGTTTTGGGTTGGTGTGTGATGGCTCCTAATTGTACATCAGAGGATATTCTAGGGCTATGTACAAAACTGCTTCTCATCTGAGACCACTTGTTTCCCTATTTTAGTGTTCTCTAATTACCAACCTAACGATAGCTTGATGGGAGGTGGATACACAAAGCCCATTGCTTTCCCACAAGCCATCTTTAGGAAATGTGGAAGGGATATTTTAGAGTTTGATTTGAAACAATAGCACTGTTGGTTGCTTGTCTAACAATACAGACCCAGCCATCACCCTTGGGTCTTTAAACTCTCCTTAAAGCCACTCTTTAAACTGAGAAAGAAAGATGAAGGTCGTTGTTGAATGATTGTGGAACTTGTGACTGGAAAGCAGCTCTGTCTTTTAACTTGTGAGCTCCTTTCTGCCCTGTGCAGGCTCTTCTGAAGCTATAATGTGCACCTGCAGCTCGGGTTCATGTTTGTGGTGCTGTGGGTAACATAACTCCCCCCCAAATCCTTTTCCTAATCCCTTGTACTGTGTGGTATCTACAGCAGTTTTGGAGAGCCAACATACAGCCTTAATGAAAGCAGAATGTCTGTTAGCGGCGCTTATGCGAACAGCAGATTACTCTGAAGGAGCTCTTACTGCTCATCAGTACTTTTGGTCACGTTTTGAGGTAATTAGCCCTCATTGGACTTAGCAGCACTCAGCAGATGCTTCATCACAGCTGCATTGTAACAGGAGCAGAACTCCTGAGTAAGGAAACTCACCCCGTGGAGCAGTTCTTGCTCCTAGTGCCGAAGCAGCCGGGTGCATGGGATGGGTGTTCAGGAGCTGGAGCTTGGGCACTGGGATAGTCACTTGTGACAGGAGCTGGAGCTCTGAGCCGGGGTTTGCAGCAATGTGCTATTGTACCTGTCCGAGCTGTTCACTTGTTCACCCTCCAGGGTTCAGCTTGAAGCTCTGGTGTCATTAGCAGAATCAGCATTAGCCTCACTCTCTAGAAAATCATAGAATCCCAGACTGGTTTGGGTTGGAAAGGACCTTAAGATCACCCAGTTCCAGCCCCCTGCCCTGGGCAGGGACACCTCACACTAGACCATGTCACCCAAGGCTCTGTCCAGCCTGGCCTTGAACACTGCCAGGGATGGAGCATTTACCACTTTTCTGGGCACCCTGTGCCAGCGCCTCAGCACCCTCGTAGTAAAGAGCTTCTTCCCTAGATCTAACCTGAACTTCCCCTGTTTCAGTTTGAACCCATCACCCCTTGTCCTGTCAGTACAGTCCATGATGAAGAGTCCCTCCCCAGCATCCTTGTAGCCCCCTTCACGTATGGGAAGACTGCTCTGAGGTTGTTCCTTTTTAAAGACAACTAATGCTGCTAAAATCTTCAGTGTGTTCTGCATCCCGGGTACCTTCCGTGTGCCTCTGAAGCACGTGTGTTCCCAAAGTATTTTTCTCTTCTGTTGAATTCCTTGTTCCATCTCTATCCGAGTTTCCCTTCCTTTAGGTCATTTGAGATACCTGCTATTAAGTCAGGTTTAAGCCACCTCACAACTGAACTTTAACTTGCCTAATTTGCCTGGCTGGGTGAACACTTTATTAAAGGCAAAGCCTTTTTAATCCCTCTGGAAGTGTTTTTTTCTCCTGTCTGAAGGAGTTGGAGTTGAGTGGAGCAATGAGAACCAGATCTCATCTTGAATTAATCCCAGATTCAGAGGTACTTTCGGCACTCTGATGTCTCACTTTCCAGTGACTTCAATAGCCAGCTTCAGTTCTGCCTGGAAGGAGTTTAAGTTCACTTCCTTGCAGGAATTGCTGGCCTGTTTTCCCACGTTTTAAAACAGGGTGATCAGCCCTTATCTGCATTACAGGCGATTACAGATTTCAGTTACTTGCCAGCTCCTCCATTTCTGCTCTCTGCGTTTGCCTTGGCCAGCACATTCAGGTCCCACAAAACAGCCCAGAGGACCTCCCAGGTCCCCAGTATGTGTCCTGTTGGGCTCACTCCAGGTTGCAGAAGGGCTCATTGGGCTGTGCAATGGTTTTTGTCCCTTCCTTCCCCGGAGAGTTGAGGCAGTGCCAAGACTGAGCGTTCTCCCCTTTGCCACCCATCTCTGGCGTGCTCCATGTCAGCGGGTGGGAAGCCTCCCTTTCCCTGCTAAAGCAAAGAGCTTATCAGGTGCCCTTGCCCCTTTGTCCTGTGCAAAGAGGAGAGATAAGAGCGGGATGCAAGTTTGCCAGCTCATAGCTGTCAGAAGCGCCTTCCCTTCCCTCCCCAGCCTCAGTCAGTACTTTGAGAACTTAATAGGCTGAAGGTCAAGCTCTGAGCCATAAACAGGTCAGGTCCTGCAGAGGAACCAGAGCCCCATGGAAGGACCCACACACCCCTTTTCCAGGCTCCTTGGAAGGGTGAAATCCAACTTCCACTGAGGGCTCTGCACGAGCCAGTGTTACACTGAAGGAGGCAGCTTTCTCTCTTCCTCCAGTGGGCTCAGGCTAAGCTGGAGCCATGTGCTTCTCCACTCACCCTGGGGTCTGGGTATGCTGCTCAGAAGCTGTGCAAGCAAAATCACCTCCTCCTGGCTGAGACTGCTGAAACCCCTGTGTGATTCGAAGCACACTGTTTGCTTGACATGGTCCTGTCTATGTGCATTTCCACGTGCGTTTTTGCCCTCCTCCAAGCTGGCTGTCCTCACTGGCTTAGTCCCAGCATGAGAAGCAGGATGGCTGCTGGGAAGGACAAGCTGTCCAGGACACACAGCACATTTGCTGTCCAAAACGGGCACATCATAGGAAGATAAGCTTGCAAACCTTCAGCCCAGTTCAGTTACAGGGGCTGGACAATGACTGAGCTAAACCAGCTAAGCAGGAAATGTCAGTGAGCTTGTAGAGTTTTAAAGGCAAATTCTGTTGATGACATGATGAGTCTTTCCTGAAACCTGGGTGGATTTTACCTGCATTGTCTAGTGAGAAGCTTGATGCGATCATAACACCTTTGTGTGGTGCTGTTTCAGGTGGGGTGGACCAAGCTCTGTTGTACAGAATCTTCCCAAGCCAGGTTGCTACTCATTAAAAACACTTCCTTAATAACCAGGACTGATTTGGTTTGTACCTTTATTTGAAGACTTGGTTCTTTTTGCTTTCTCACAGAGAGGAAGTGCAGGAAAACTGTGTCCGCTGGAAGAAGAAATTCACCTTTGTGTGTAAAATGAGTGCTAACCCAGCCACAGGACTCCTGGACCCCTGCATCTGCCGAGTGTCTGTCCGGAAGGTGAGCATCTATCTACCTTCTGCTTCTGGCAGGTAGTACCACCAGTGTACAGGCGTTGGGCACTACCTGCTTTTTGGTAGCAAGAAGAATTGCATGGTCAGTGATGTGAAGGAAAGATTGGGCCAGGATGTGACTTGAACACAAGCAAGGGTGCGTGGTGGAGGGTGGGAGTGACGAGGGGGGTGGTAGATGTTTGTGAAATCCTGAGAGCAAATTCCAGGATTGAGTAATGACTTTCCCCCTGTTTCCCCAACACATTTAATAGTTGCTTTTCCTGTTTGTTTTGTCTCTTGTTATAGGAGCTGAAGGGCGGAAAAACCTACTCAAAGGTAAGAGCATAGAAAGGGCAAATGTGGCAGAGTGATGATGGTCTTGTCTTCTGTTAGTGCTTAACACCCACTGGAAACCAGTGGCTGCTGTGTGAAGCAATCTGGGGGCAGAGTCATTAGTTCTTAGTTCAAGCCTGAGTTAAGCGATTTCCCACAAAATGGACTTGCTGGGACAGGATCCAGATTGCACTGGATGTGGATTTGAGAAGGGGGCTGGGAAGATGATCTGCATGTCCTCAAGCTTTGGGGAAGTTCTGAGTCAGATGTGAACTCTCTGGCTTCTGGCAGCATCTCGCTCATAAACACGGACTCCAGTTCTGTTCTCCCCAGTGCAGCTGTGGCTGGGCTAGGCACCTCGCTGCCTTGTGTGC